AATGTGTCTAGTCCCTTAAGCAGTAAGAGCAGCATTGAGAGCACTGTGTACATCGACCCCAATTTGAGCTTCAGCTTTCTCAACTTCAGTTGTTGCAGAGCTTAGCTTCTGCTGGTACAAAGTAAGGCCCGTTTGAACCAAATTCGGGTCAATGCGGTCAATCGGGGTGGCCTCAACGACAGCAATATCGGCAATAGAGTTTGCATGGATGATGGTAAAGCCACCGCTCACAAAGTACTTGGTCACATCATTACCTTCATGAACAGATAGAATCCCTGGTTTGAGCTCAGCAATTGTTGGTACGTGACCAGGCAAAACACCCATCTGTCCAGTAGTTGCTGGTACAATGACCATATCGACCTGAAAAGACACATAAATAACATGTGGGTCAAGCAAAAGTAGATGTTATTGGATCCTTGAAAATATTTTTTTTTTTTAAAAAAACGTAATCTTTTTTATAATATATATTGGAGAAAGAAAATGAGATGCATCTTCCATAAACGAACTTGCCAGCACAAGAGCCAAAACAGATATTAGTATGTAAACATAAGTCAGATGTGTGAAAAATTTACAACAGTTCCAAAGTCCTAGGTAGAATTTTCTGTCCATTGTTGTTTTCTTATTAACTAGGTATGTTTCAAACGTTCCTAATTGAGAAATGAAATCAACCATTAATAAGCTTGAGGTGCTACCAAAGTCCTAAAATTTGTAGTGTAATGCCAGCTGGGAACAACACAGGACTAGGACTATAACTCTGACTAGTCAAGATGTGACAGTGATTAATAGTTACTTCAAAATTACTCTTCGAGTAAGCTATGGAAAGATAACCAAGATTTAGTCACAACCAAGTGAAGTAAAGATATCTACTGTTTCTGCAATTCAAGCACCCAACTCATACACAATTTGGCAGATTATAACCTCTGGAACTGTAGTCTCTTTGTTCACTGAGAAATCAGGCAATAATCGTGAATTATCTAAACTCTAAAAGGGCAAATAAAATGAAATACACAACTTCAAGATGATAAATATTACATAAAAATTTGGGAAACATAACAAGTAGAGAAACAAGAGTCCATGATTTGCTTCTTGACAGAACTCCGAACAAGAGTTTTTCAGGGTGAGTAGGTGTTACGCCTTCAAACAACAATACAACAGCAACAGAAATCCTGAATTTAATTTATACAATTTGAATTTGAGCTTTAAAATGCATCTAATCACCAATGGTTTTTCACCCTTTGATGGTTCTAGCTTTTGAACTTCTCCAAAAGTAATTGCACCAAATTCAAGGCTACAAATTACTGTATTTTTTCCTCCCAATCAGACCTCACCCATGAAACCTATCTCACAATCAACTTAGCATAATTCATCTGCAAACCAATCCCAGTACAACTCAAGGGCATGTGCTACATAGCGAAATCAAAGCCCACATTAGACGGTTGTTAACAGTTGCAAAAGGAAGGTAGTATATAACACATTGGAATGAGCTTAAAATAATTATTGTTTCAACCATGCTAATCTAACGCATATTTCGGAAATTACCTCATTACCATACATAAACCACAACATTAAAGATAAACAAAACGAAGAACAGCATTAACAAATCCATAACAATCTTCAAACAAACAAGCTCTGATACCACAATTACACAATCATAACAATCTTCAAGCAAACAAGCTCATAGACCACCCTATAAAACAAGCTAAAGATTGATCAGACCATGAGCACCAGTTCCAGACCAGTCCCTAAGACGATAACATATTCACTTCACATCACAGCTGAACTGGTAAAAATAATCCATCTCTCTAGAAAATAAAAAAGGAAAAAATTAAAAGAAAAGAGATCTCAAGAATTGCGAGTGTGAGAGAGCGAACCTCTTTGCTGGACAACACGGAATTGTACGGAAGAACGAAATTGATTGTCAGCTTCGAGGGGATGGTGGGCGGTGTCGGCGGGCGAGGAGCCATGTAAGCCGAGGGGGTTTTCGGCGGATCCATATTTGGCATCACTTTCTTCCAGGCGTCGATAAACTTGGAGTCCCCTGCGTTCTCCGCCGGTAGATCAGTGGAAAAAGGGCGGCTCCACCTCATCGAAGCGGCGGAAGCTCGGCTGAGAAGGAAACGCGAACCCTGTCGCAACATTTTGAGCTGGCTGAGCGTGCGTGTCTGTGAGAGAGAGAAAGAGAAAGAGATGAGAATTTGGGGGCAGTGGAGAGAGTGTATCAGCGAAATGGTGAAGTGGGAACTGTGGAAGACATGTTAATGGGCTTAATTGTTGAAGGAAACCCATGCGTGAAGATGTGTGGATTGGGCCTCATTTTGTCAAGATATTGAAGGCAATCTCACACAGTTTCATGGGCCTAATTATAAGAATTGGAATGACTAGGGTTGCTAACGAGTCGAGTCGAGTCGAGCATTGGCCTTATCGAGTAGGATTGACTTTTTTTTAGCTGATCGAGCTCGTCGAGGTCGATTTTTAGGCTCGAGCTCAGCGGCTTGAGTTCGACTCAAAAATTTTTAATTAGAAAGGTAAAATTACTATTAGTGACATATACTAACATATATAAGGAGTATTTTAGTAACTTAACATGTATCTCGAATCACTCAACAAGACAAAATATGTGCTCGAGCTCGACTCGAGTTCGTGCTCGAGCCGCTCGTCTCGTTTGCGGCCCTACCCATGACACAAAACATGAACATGAAACTATTAACAAAGACAAACGACAAGATTAAGTATGGCACTACTACCGACATGAAGTAAAGAATTTAGTTGAATCTTGGAGTTAATAAATTAATTATAATTAAATAAAATAAATAATACAAAATTACGAAAATAAATACACACGATAGCACGATTGATCACTCCTTAAACACCAAGATATATAACTTTTTAATTTGGTATATAAATACATTATTATTATTATTAATATGAAAAGGGGACGGTTAGCGAAAGGAGGCGTCTTTTGGCCACGTAGAGTTGCATACATCTTCCCGCCAAACGTCTATATTATCATTCATTCCACCCATCCAGCCCAACCACAACCACCTCATTCTTTTCCCTCCAAAATTTCAACCGGCGCCGCCATGAACTCCGGCAAGAGAAAGATGACGAACGTTGTCGGCGGGGCTGCCGAGCAAACGCCGGCAAACAACCAACTTCATTTCTTTAGTAGTCTCCCGAGCGACCTCCACTTTGCACCTCCGGCCGACGGCGGCCGCCAGTCGCAGGTGCAGCAGATACTCAACACTGCCGCCGCCGCCCGGCCACGCAAACCATTCTCCTTTACATCCCTGCTGACGGCCGACGATGATGATTACGTGGACCCCCTCGCAGAGGAGATCAGAAACCAGCGGGAACAAGTCAATCAAATCATCTTGCTCCACGTATCACACTTTTTTTTTCCATATATACTACTTTAATTATGTTTGATTTAATTACAAAATGGCACCAAAGAATTCTGGTTATTTAAAAACAGGAAACCCCAAATTTATGTGTTTTTTCT